GGGGAGAGATGGATCCGAGTGAGGTGCGTGATGGAAATATGGTGGACTGAGGCCTGTGCTGAAGTGACTGTGCTTTCCAGATTGACAAGCTATTGAAGGGGCCGTTCACCGACCGACACGGCAACTTCAACTATCGTGAATGGGTCAAGGTCTTGCGCATTAATGCGGACAGCGATGAAACAGACTCTCCGTAAGATACCCTGTAGAGATATTCTGCCATGATCTTTACGACCAGAATGACCACGTATACCCTCACGTCTATTTATGCACCCAATGTAGCATGCTTTTCATCATCTCGCAATTGTGAATGTGGCAAAACCAAACTATTTCCTATTTCTTTCCAAGATCTACTAATGTTACATTTAGGTAGGCCCAATCCGGTTTGATCTGGGTGCAATTGTATAATGTTAAACCCATTCTCCTTCCAAAGGCTCTGCGGGTATGTTGTGAGCATTTATGGCAAGTTCTTTCAGTACTTGATCGATAGACTCTTCGGATTCCTTCTCTCCGAGCTCTGTCAATGCTACAAATGAGAGGCTCAATGTTTGTCCATGATAGAGCGGTGTCACGACTGAACTCACCTTCTCCACGCCCTTCTTTCAGGCTGGTCTCTAGCCCATCATCTCCGCTTCTGGCAGCAATCAGTAGCAGCTCCGCACCCTCGTAGTCGAGCATCTCGCTCCTCTCCACCGTTGCGAACCTCAGCCCGAAGCTTTCCCTGCCCTTCCCGCCGCCAGCACCGAAAACTTCTCGCATGATATCTTGAGGGAAGTCCGCTTTTCTGCCATCGGGGAGCCCGACGTTGAACCCCGCAGTATTCGGCGCTTTGGGATTCTTGACTTGGACGACAAAGGACGATGCTTGATGTATGCCCAATGCTTCCTGCACTTCACCAAAGTTCTCTGGGGTAGGGTGCGAGAGATGGTAACCCAGATGTGTCTCACGAGACGACGGCGTTCGGCCCTGACTGTTGACGATGGCATATGCGCCCCGCGCAGCCAGCCGTGCGGGACCTTGGTGGCGGGTTCCTGCAAAATCTCAGCAAATGCAACGTTATAATCCAACCTGCAGCGCGTACCTTTGGTCTTCGTCTCGTACTCTTTCTTGCCCAGCCCTTCCTGGAGCTTCTGCAAATCCTCTCCGACGGTGATGACCGTCGCCCAGAAAGTCCCTTTCCTGTCTCCTCCCTTGCCTCCACCGGCATCTGGATCGGGAAGCTGCTTCTTGCCCACCGCGACGAGTCGGAAATGTTTCTTCTTCTCGCCTATCGTTGCCTTCGCAGGTACTGCGTCGGCGCCCTCCTGGACCAAGTTCATTTCGCCCTCGTCCTCGTTGGCACCCGAGGTGGCATCGCCGACGCTAAACTCGGGCGGGCGGGGAACGAGCAGGATGTGGAAGCGCTGGACGTCGTCGATCGAGTGCACCTCCTCGACCTCGACCTTGGGCCGGTAGAAGAAGTAGATGTGGCCACGTTCGACGGTGCCTAGGCACACCATGAGTCTTTGCGGGCCCATTCAGACATGAAGCTTGAAACGCACCGCTCTGGTAGACGTGCTTCCCTGGATGGTCCCCTTGGTTCTTCACCGCATTCACCTTGTTCTCGCCGCCATCCGCTTCCTCCTTGTGTCCGTCTTCCTTTGGCTTCTTTTCTGGAGGCTGCTTCCCTGCGTGGTCCTCCTTACCGTCCCCGGCGGCCTCCTCTGCCTTGCGCTTGCTCCCGACCTCGGGCTTGTCCTCCGCCTTCGCCTTGGTCTGCTGCTTGCTCGCTGGCTTCTTCTTCGAGGGCGGTTTTGCAGGTGCCGCTTTGGTGGAGGGTGGTTTCCCTGACGCTTTACTGCGCGTCGTTGGCATGATGGAAGGATAGTGGAACGCAAACGACGACTGTGAATTGGCGCGAAAATGCGGGGGATATTTAGGCATCCTAGGCTAATGACGTCACTCGCTTGCGAGGATGATTGCCGCCTGACTTTGTGGCGTTAGCGCGCACTTGGCTTGGTGGACAGTAGTTTATGACATGGCATTCATAAGTATTACACTCCTGCACCGACGAATAAATAGAGATTAAAATACATCGTAAATGATACAACGAACTATACACATGCACAGCGACAGCAAAGCAAACAATCAATCAGTTCATGTCAGCGTACGATCTGTCGTCCACTATCAGAACGGAGCACAACAAACGTCCTCATGCCACAGTCATCTCGACATCCCTGCTCGCCTCCTCGTCCAGCTTCATCTTCCCAGCCGCAGGCCCCCCAGTCGGCGGCGGCGGCGGCGTGCCAAAGCGGCGCTTGTACTCGGCGTTGATCGCGACGAGCATGTCGCGCAGCAGCTGCGCGTGCTGGCGCCGCTGCACGTCTGACACGGCCTTCGCCCGGCTGTCGAGCGCGATGCCACCGACGCCGCGCACGAGGCGCTCCTCGGTGAAGTGCGTGAGCGAGCCGCTGCGCGCCACGGCAGGCGCAACGGCGCGGATCGGCGGGAGCGTCGGCGGCGGCGAGGGAGAGGGCCGCCCGCTCGAGCGCGACGTGTGCTCGTCCTCTGCGTCCGTGTCGTCTCGCTCGTGCGAACTCTCGCGGTCTCTCCTCGGCGGTGGAGAGGCCGTCGAGGCGCGCGACATGGGCGAGTCGGAGGGCGACGGCGAGCGGAACTTCCTCGAGATCGGCGGGAGCCTGTACTTCTCGTCGCCCTCTTTGAGCAGATGTGAATATAGCGAGTCGGGCTTCCGGAGCATCGCCGGCGACGATGAGCGCGAGCTGGTGCCGGAGCTGGACGCAGAGATCTGGGGCGCCGAGTACTCTGACGCAAGCTTGAGGGGTCCGCGCACGGGAGCGGGGGCTTCCCACTTGGGCTGGACAGGTTCTGGTGGGTCAAGAGGCGCCTGATCCGAAACGTCCCTGCCGCCAGCGCTCCTGAGAGGTACAATTGTCCTCATGGTTCTCTGCGTGTAGTCGACAGGGGCAATCTGTACTACTGGCGGAGGACCCCGACTCTGGCGCATATAGTCGAAGGAGTGCATGTCCGAGAGGTGCGGCGGTGTCGCGTTAGGCGGTGTCGACATGCACGAATGTGAAGACAGCGGCGATGCGCCACCCGCAGACGGATCGTATCCGCCCGGAGACAAGAAATGTGTTGGTGTCGGCTGATGGAAACTCGGGCGAGCCGGGTACTCGTCGTGAAGAGGAGAGAGCGAGATACGACGTTGTGATTGCTGCGGATGGAAAGCAGCTGACGGACCCGCGGGAACGAAATCGAGGTCCGCGACCTGTGCATAGAGACCGCTACCGTACTGAGTAGCTTGTAAGGAAGGATGCGTAGCCCGACTAGGGTAAGGAGTCTGTGGAAGTTGGTTGACGAGGCCGTGTGTAGAGCCATAGCCAACTTCGCCATGGTATCCAGCACCTGGTCCTGGAGCGTTAGGAATACCCGGCATTCCCGCAAGACCCATCTGAGCGAGACTCTCAGGATCAAAATATGCCTGCGGCGATGAAGAGTAATCTTGGTGTCCCAAGCTGCGTTGGACGGTGCCGGAGCTAGTGACGTCTTTGCCAAGTGTTATGAGGAATTCGTTGACGGCTGCGAGCTCTTCAGGGCTGCGAATGTCGAATGAGACCTGGCGAGGGTTGAAGGCTGGACCTTGCTGAGCTTGTTGTTGTTGTTGTTGTTGCTGTTGTTGTTGAACAGTCACTTGGTTCAAAGAGTGAGCATGCGAATGTGCAAGGCTGCTGAGACGTTCGGCCATGTCTATGGAAGACATATGAATAGGCTGTGGAGCGCGTCAGATGGTAAGGACTCACGAGGATCATACGACGGATTCACCCTTCGCTTCTTCACATCGGTGAAGAACTCATCGTAGTCGTAGCTTCGCTTCGAGCCAACCCCGCTCACGGGACCTGTGCCGTCAGGGCGCAGGGCTTCCCAGGATGGCTGTATGCGGTACTGGTCGTGCGCTTCAGGAGAGTGGTAGTGTATGGAAGAGTGTTGAATTTCAGGCGACGGCGTGGGCAATACACCAAAGTCTGTACGTTGCGTCGGGATCCATGCATCAGAGGATAGACTAGATGACGCACCAGACGAGCTCTCCGAAAGCGAGACGGAGCTCGACTTTGCCCGGGATAGGGACGTCTGTATTTTGCTGGCTGCGTTGGCGGCTGATTGTACCGGCTTTGCCCTGGTCGGTAACGCATCGGTCCTGGACGAGACAGAGTCTCCTCTCAGCCGGGAAGAAAAGATGGGGTCAGCGATAGTAATCGCTTTGGAGTGCTTGTGCTGCGCATGGTGCTCTTCTGTATGAATCTTCTCGTGCTTCTTGAGGTCCTGCGGCCGCTTGAACGGCTTGTTGCAGACTTCGCATACATGAGGCTTGAGGGGAGTGTGCACTATATCCATAGCGTTGATGGGTCGTAGACGGGCCGACGAGCAAATATCTACGCACCTCGTAGATGGCTTGTTATGTGGTCCCGCTTTGCACAAGTGGTGTTGCAGTCTTTCCACTTGCAGGTGAGGCAGAGGTTACCCGTGCTCTTGCGGCCGATGTGGTCGTTACAAAGGTGATTGTAGAGCGTCTCGGGGTCAGACCAGACCTTGTCACAGTCGACCCACAGACATCTGTGACCATCCTCAGCCGCAGGCCTCTGGTACGTGGAGCGAGGGTCCGAGGCGGGGTCTTGCTCCTGAAGGTTTGCGGCCGCTGGATTGGGCGCTGGTGACGGAGAGCGGATGGGTTGTGCGGGCGGGGGAATGGAGGGGGAAGTCATGAGGGAGTCAAATATGGGATCGTCGTCGTCGATGTCGACGTGGAATTGGGGGTAAAGGTTGCGGTAGAGGGTGTGCTGGAGGGTGCTGAGGGGGACGAGAGAAGGAAAATCACGGCGGTCCATGATCTGTGGGTTGTATATGAACAGACTCCGTCCGGACACAGGGACCCATCGAGACTCCTTTGCTTGGCACTTTCTTGGCAGTCTTATGGCTTGGCACGCAGCAGACGCCCGAGGGCCATCTTGTCACCGATCTGTGACACTGTCACGCTGCGGTTGTTTGAGGGTTTCTTCTCGCACGCCTGGACAGAAATAGCCTGCCGACAGATTTCCCGACATATCATCAGACATGCAGCGGACAGAGGGGATGCCGTCTGACGGTTGTGAGATACTCGCATCGCGAACTCTGCCCAGGTGGGAGAGTGACCGCACATGCCGTACTCAGCGCGCGCGTGCTGGACGCAGACGTGTGAAGCAACGGTTTGAAAACCTTGCAAGTGCAAGTGCGAGCACTCTCAGCGTCGGCGCGCGGAGGAGGACCACGGCCCCCGCCGCAGCTGACGAGATGCCGAGTCCAAGGCAAACAGAGCTTCGACTCGGCTTGTCTGACCAGCCAAGCCAAGGCTATCCCAGACCCTGCGCTCTGCTTCGTCGGTGGTCGTCGTCGGCCGCGTGGGCTTTCTGTTGTGCTCACGCGACGACCGCTTCGCGCGAGCAATACCCAAAAATACGCCGCAGGCAGAATCCGCTCATTCGCAAGCTTCCATGGACGACCGGGGGCGACCTGAGACCTCCCACCCAAAGGCTACGGCCGAGTCTCTCCGCAGCTGTGGCCGCCGTGCAGCCGGGCTTCACCATCCCCGTCGAGCGAGAGAAGGCGACAGACAGCCTGAGCGTCACGGTAGTTTATTCACCCCCTGGCTAGTGCGCTTGGGTGTGGATCTGAGGCCTAGGGTCCGATCAGCCAAGCCAAAGCTCAAGCAGGCCAAGCAGGTCCCAAGCCAGAACCGGGTTCATACGGGGCCTTGGCACAAACCATCCATCACGGAGGAACTCGGTGTCCATGACGCACATGGCATTAATGTCTGGCTTTTTTCCAGGCGCTTTCAGCTGCTCGCCCGTGCTGGCGGCATGGCGACATGGCGCAGTCGCAGCACCCTGTGCGAGTCGCCCGCGACGGCACGCACGTCGGCTTGTCATACGCAGCCTGGATGGCGGCTGCGCGGTGCGGACAAGAACATCTTTGCGGCCCCGTTGGGAACAAACCTTTCAATTTTGGCAAGACACTGAGCCCAGAGACGAGAAGAAGGCCAAACACGTCTAGATAATTGTCTTGGGTTCGTGTTCCCTTGTCGCTGCCGTCGATGCCGTCGATGCCATCGTGCGGCACAATCCCCACCAAGCGCGAGCCCAGGCAACGAAGAAGAGCTCCCGTGTCAAGCCGAGCGCAAAGTTGGTCACTGGCTTATCAGATAGTGAGAACGACGGTGTCCCGTCGCGAGCGACCTATTCATTCTGCCTGATCTCGAATGGAACCAATAGCTTGTGGAACAACCCTGCGAACTGAGAACCTCGACGAAGACGCGCCGCGACAAAGTACAGCGCAGCGACCATGATAAGCGAGGGCCTCGTGAGCATGGCTCAGGTAATTCTCGTTCTTGTGCGAATACTAAGACCGCACGAGTCAGCGACACCACTCCGGAGCGACACGTCCAGTCCGCCGACGCAGAGGAACTTTGTGGTAGCACATGGCGCTCAGCATGCCAGGACGACTGATGGAGCTCACCGACACTAAATGGAGGTGCGCTCGTCCCGGACATAAGCAGGAAAGCATCGAGCAGCTGATACACATTAGCGTACAATCTACGGTACAACAAAGCAGGATCGTGGCACCATCCGTGAAATCCCGAAAAGCAACATGGCACACACACACACACCGTTCTCACCGCTTTAACGTCAGTTTGATCTTCGGTGCCCCTGCAGACGGCGTCGCCGGCGCGTCTTCATCTTCGTCGTCGTCCATCTCATCGTCTGCGGCAGTTACCGGCGGGCTCATCGCCAGGGGTGACGGTCCGTGCGACATCATCGCACTCGCAGCGTGCAGCCCGCCGGACCCGCCCGGCGAAAACAGGCCGCCGCCGGCACCAGGGGGCGACGTCGCAGGCGGGCTGGTCGCGGAGCTCGAGCTCGCCGCGGGCATCGGGGGCGTACCGGAGTTGAACTCGGCCCAGCGCGGGCACTTGCGGTTTGTTTCTAGGGCGGCGCAGCCCCAGGTCAGCCGTCTTTTCCATCTGAAAGATTTCGCAGAGAGATGGAAACTTACTCATGTGTCCCATCTGTCCACAGTGGCCGCAACGTCTCTGCACGGATCTCGTCGGCCCAGCGATCGCGAGAAGTCGGTCAGGGGTACTCACCGTGGTGTCAGGCTTGACCGGCCGGTTCAGCTGCATCGGCGTGCCGCCCTCCTTGACGATCTTGGCGTTCTTCCGGTGCAGGCGGCGCTCCTGATTCTTTTTCATCCTCGCAATCTCCTCCTCCAACCTAACCCGGGGAAATCAGCCCCGGCCCCTGGATCTGGATGGAGACAGGAACAAAAACACGCACCGCTTCTTCATACGCTTGTCCTTCTCTGCGTCGCCGGTCGGGGCGAGAGCGTCGGCCGTGGTGTTCTCCTCCTCGATGGCCTGTCGCTTTTTGACGTACGCGTTGATGACCGCGGCGTCGCGCACGATCTCGATCCTCCACTCCCCGCTCACCTTGCGCTTGATCCTGAGGACCCTGCGCTGGTCGGACCCTGGCGTGCCTTCCCGCTGGGGGGCAAGCGACGATGCGCGGCTGAATGCAGGCGACTCCGCCACGCTCTTCTTCGCGTCGTCCTCCTTCTCCTTGTCTGTGAGCTGCGGCTCGTCCTTGCGGCTCAGCGAGTCGTACTGTGCCTTCCAGATGCGCTCGATCTCGGACTTGTAGATGAGCTGCTGCTCGGCTACGTTGTACCGATGTGCAGACTTCGGACGACTCTCTGCTTCGGCTGCGGACAAATGAGGTCAGTCGGCTCTTGGCGGTGGCGATGACGGACGGGACGAGGTGCGTACCTAGTTTCTGATCGTAATCTTCACCAGCTTTCACAAAGATGTCTTTCATAGAGACACGGACGAAGCTAAAGGCTTCACCACGTCCGGTGGGGTCACCCTCACCATGCAGCCGAAGCATTGCTTTTGCCTGAGTCGCGAACAGGAAGTTTTTGGTCGTGATCCATGGCGCAAGCTGCTGTTCAATAGAAAGGTTGCCCTCGTCATCTTCCGCTACTTCACCGTTGTAGCTGTACCCAGAGTCTTGGAGATGCCGCTGGCCGACCTGCATACTCTCAGCAAGTACCACCTGTTCCGGAGTAACCATTTTCAGCATGTCGATGTCGGATGGGATTGTCCAGGTGGATTTCAGCCGCCAGAAGCCTTGGTGAGGACCGCGACGGTGGTACTCCATAAACTCCTGCAGAGACCAGTAAGCGCGTCGCCGGCATCGTAAAGCCGCTTAACAGAGACTTGCCTTCAACCGCTGACGCATCTGCAGCTCGTTCTGGTCAGGGAAGTACTTCATTAACCTCGAGATCTTCAAGCGCTCCTCTGCACTCTTCTGCAGAAGCTTGAAAGCGATGATCTGCAAGCGGTGCTTGATGGTGTTGGTGATTTTTCTGGAATGTGGGCCAGGCACTTCGGTGACAGGGTATGTTTGGCCGACGGTGAAGAGATTCTTGATATCGCGGATATAATACTTCGTGTCGCTCTTGATTGTGTTCCTAGAACGTGTCTAGTTCACCACGAAGCCTGGATAATATCATCGATACTCACTTGATGACCAGGAAGTCTGTTTGGTAGGGCTTATGTCGGAAGAGTGGAGCTCGGATGAGGTTGCTGTACAATGCCGGTACTGTCTGCCCCGGATACACATACCCGAATTTCATGAACGGCGACTCGTCTTGAGGCTCGATGACAATGGGTTCACCGAGGTCATACTTGGGTACATGCTCGTCCTTCTCATTCTTCTTCCGGTAGTAATTGACCAGTATACTACCCATTCCGAAATTCGAGATAATAGGCGGGTGCTCTTCCTGCATAAATAATTAGTAAACGTATATACTTGCATGTCCGGCAGTATACTAACAGAAAACTCCCATACTACGAAGTTACTGGTGTCCCGAAGACTGAGGTCCCCTGTCCGATGCAACCCTTCGCCGACGTTTCCGCCCTTGCCGATTTTGCGTCCAGCCTTGTCCTTCTTCTTCTTTGCAGTCCGTACTTTGGCAAAGTGCAGCTCAACGTTTGATGGAAACTGCAAAGCAGGTCTGTGAAACGACCGAGCCTCCTGCTTCGACAGTCGTGTCTTGAACTGTTGCAACAGATATGAGCCAAATGCGCGACGTGAGCGTCGCAAGAGCTTACAAAGGGCAGCTGGAGCTTCTGCGCTGGATAAGCGTGCTCAACGACAAGCTGACCAAACGTCTGCCTGACACGGTGACGGCCACCTTCCTTGGCAACTTCGTAGAACTGATCGTTGGACAAGTTGAACTTGTCCTTAA